AATCTGTTAAACCAAACACCAAAGACCATTCATCATAATCAGCCGAAAACAAACAGAAATCTATAACGTTCTCCGACCCAAAGTAAATCATTAGTTGGCTTTAACGCTTTTTCTTCTCACCCAAAGTCAATCTAAAATGGGTTAGAGTAGGGTCTAGCCTAAATAGAGAAATAAGTGGACTGAATACAACATTTTATAGTCAAATTCGATACGTTGAAAACTAATTTGTATCAATTTGCAGCCGACCGCAGAATGAAGAAAAAACTACGATTTTCTGGTTTTTGCCAGGCTCGCCAAATCAATCAAAACCTTAGCAGTCGCACATGGAGCAAAACGATCAAAGCTGTATCGCGAAAAAACGGCGAGCTGAAAAAACCAAAAAAGAAAAGATTAATGAACAGAAATGTACATTAAATTGCTTGGCCCGACGCACTTGGACTTTCACTTTCCGTCGAACGTCGAACGGGGCAAGGAAAAGCGATAGGGCGAAGAAATTTATAGTTGGGAAACTATCTATCTATTCAACGCAGTATCTACGGGTATCTGACCCATTAAGCCAACAAACACACGCAATGCAAAACGCATTGGGATATCGCTCGTTGTCCCTGGCAATTGTTTTAATTGGATTGTTTATTGGGAAACGGGAAGTGGGGAGGGTTGCTCGGGTTCGGTTGCCATGCGAGCACTGCGGGTTGGCCTATCTTCTCCGACCTGCTTGTCCGCGAAACAGAGCCAACCCATATGCCCCCTGTATTGACCCAGTTAACCATATTCAATGCTCCGTTTTCCTCTTTCAGGGTCACGTGAACCAAAAACCAAATGGACTATCTAAAAGCGTTTCATTTTTTGCAACACTTCCTCAAGGCTTTCTGTATCGCCACTGATGTCGTCAGATCTGTGGATTATTTTAGGTATCCCACCAAGCATATATCTTCCTTTTGTTGTTTGTCCATTCTATATGCGTCTGTCGGTCTGTCTAGTAAATTAATGTCTAGCTAGGAATTCTTTCTGCACAATTTATTTTAGGACGCTTTTTAAATTTCAATGTGAAATCGTTTCAAAATATTCGGCGGGGGTTTCTTGTTGAGAAAGGAATTAGGACAAGTTATTTGTCCAACAATTTGTTTATACACCAAATAGAATTCACAGAAGTTTGTCAAGATCTGCAAAAATCCTTTAAGCTTCGAGACTCCAGAGCTGAGAAATTTTTATTTTGTTCAATAGGAGATCATTGAACCATCCAAGAGCAATTTTTACAATTTTAATACGACTCTTTACAGGCAGAATTTTTACGGATACCATTTATCTTTTCAAACGTCTCATTATCGCCGACTGGATTGCTTTCTCCGACTTGACCAGACGATTTTTCATATTTTAACGAACTGAATTTACGCGACATATCGTAAAGAGACCCTGATGTTATATAGCTATCGAATGCGGCTTGTGTGCTGCCCCAAACAATCTGTCACAATTTATTTTAACACTTGCTCCCCCATGTCGTTACTCTGTCGCCCAAAAAACATATTGTATTTGTTTCGGTCTATATTTTGGCAATTGTTTTTTGGGATTTTCTCTGAAAACATTTCGGTGACGGAAGTGCGCGTGTCGGCGCGACGCCATTTAAGCCAAAAAAATGAATATGGCTATATAATGTGTGTACTTAACGACTCGAAAAACAGGCGGTGCATTAATATTTCAGCAGCGTTTCGAACGCGCAAATCTGTGACGCCCTCGAGTCGCCAAATCCTGACTTGCATTTCGAATCAAGACGCCGTTTAATTTCCCTATATAGAAAGAAATATATCGGCAAACAGTAGCACATATAGAAATCCACGTAGAGAGAGAATATATAAACCAGCCGGCCATCAACTAAACGGCCCATGGCCTGCATAAACAATTTGACGTCAATTCGAATGGAAATGGAAAGAGATCAGAATAAATATCTGACTTTGGGATCGGGGGGAATCAAAATATAGCTAATAAATGTGTTTTCATCTCTCTCGGCTCACTCTACTTCTGAAAATAAATCAAAGAGCTTATAGTAAGAAGCCATTAGAAAGGAAATTATATGCTGCAAAGGAAGCCGGCAATTTGTTTGCTCATAGTCTGGTCAGAGAATTACGAGCCAACTATCTGCGGAGCTCTGAAATGCACTCAACCCTTGTACAGAATGACTCAACCACTCAACCACCCAAAAACCGACCACCAATGAGCCAAAGGGCGGCTATTCGCAAACATAGGCAACGCGAAACATCGCTTGTTGGCCAACTTGCCAAGTTGCAATGGGCAACATTGAAAAATAAGTATGCAAAGAGCGAAAATAGTTAGCCGGTGACCCTTAAAAAGCGATATTTGACATTTGTGCTCAAAATACACATTTTGCCAGTGCCGCAAAGAAAAGGAAAACTACAAAAGGAAAACTTAAGGGGCAAGGTATGGTAGAAAGCTACAAAAAACCATTTGAATCAATGGAATAATATAAACATACATATATAGGAACAGTCTCTTTCAGTCTGAATAACATGAGTCATTTTAACTTTTATATGAAAATACATTTATAATCAAAACAAAAACAAGTTAAACAGATCATTTATGGCAACATTTTATGGCAAAAACGTCAGTATTTGATATTTCCAAAACTGCCTAATTGATATACTACGTTCTAAAATCAACAGTACGGCACTGGAAAATCCTCAACTGACAGCAGAAATGATATACCGCATTTACTCATTCATACCATTAGACGAACGAATGAGTTCAGATCAAATACATATATTTTATTTTTGGGGGGCCTTAATTGCCGACGAGCAGATCCAATTTTAGAGGAAAACTATTGGAAAAGAACTTGCACAGGGGAGAAGTCAGAAGGTGGAAAACGATTCCGAAGATGCGGCTGCCAAATAGATACAAGTTGCTGGCGCATAGAGTAGATACAGATTTGAATCCGAATCTGAATCTGAATCATGATGGACGCACACAAGTGGACCTCGGCCACGCCTCTCTGCTTCAGCTGATGTAATACTCGTTCAAACGGATGTGCGGAAATGTTTATAAACAAACAAGAGGAATGCACGGAAAGAAAATTTCAGACACAAAGGATATTCAGTAAAAGATGCACAGCGTATTATATTAATATATTCCGAACTAGAAAAGATCTGTGGCTCATGATTGTTCTATTTGTTGACCAACTGGTACTTACACTTATTGCGCGTACTGTCGAGCATTTAGGTGCCGGAGCTTTATCATTCCAGAACAGAAAGTTAGCTTCTGTGGGGCGATACTTCTAGCGTTTCGTTTGGGGTTGGCCTTCTTCACGTTTGTTTCGGCCGCTCGCGTTGTCACAGAAACCGCAGGCAATAAATACGAGGGGAGGGAGGGGTCAAAGGGGGCGACACCGCAGTACCGAAGTATGTTAGAAAGTAAAAAGCGCGAAAACAAATGCCACTATATTGATTACTGGAAAGGCACAGTAAAACACACGCGCGTTGTTACCGGCGAAGTTAACCGGAGTCGTTAGCCTTTATTTCTTTTTCTGTTTGTTGTGACAGGTCTGCTGTCTGCACTTGTTGTTGCTCTGGCTATTGACAATCCAATTAGCCAGTGAATATGCCGCCCTTCCAATCAGATAAGGCCATATACCCCAAGATATCCGGAATATCTTGAAACGCTTTCACCACAGAAAAATTGCTGAATTATGGGATGGTTTCGATTGGATCCCAGAACGATTCGGTTAGAACTTGGTATGGAAACGCGTTGAAAAGCCACCAAAGACCGCGACCGAAAGAGGAAAACGCGATGCGAACGGGAACACAACTAAAGCAGAACTGAATGGCCAGCGGAGGAATCCAATGGCCAACCAATTCTGAGTGAGAGCTTTCCTCTCACTCGCCATGGGCGGAAAACTCAGGAAAAGACGGAAAATGCTATTTTTGCCCACGCCGGAAAACTACTCAAAGAGCCAAGCCAAGATGAAGCAATAATGTGTGAACATTTAAACTGAGCAAATTGTTTACAACGCTTTTTGGGTGGAAGGCGCGCCGGCGTCCAGCAGATGAAAGTGAAATTCCCATTGGACGAGGAAAGGAAAAGAAAAAGGTGTGGAAGTCCAATAACTCAATTCAATAAAACTTAAGATGTTGGAGATCTAATGATTGGGTTACATAGTTTTTAGTGGTGTTAACTATTTTTAATATTTGTTTTTCCACAAGTTTGACTAGAGGGCGTCAAAAAACCGTTAAAATCCATCCCTGTAAAGCTTAAAATAAACTGTACATTTCAACAGTCTTACTTGTTGTGTTGACCTAAAACTGTAAATATAACTGTAATCATACATATTAAGTGGGGCTTGTACTCACCTTTGAATAAAAAACAGCTGGGATCTTGAGCCTTCCGCCCACTCCTGCAGGCGAACAACAGCTGTTTCAGGACTTCCTTTACTCCACAATCCTTTCTTATTTTACTTTCCAACAGAAAGTTGTCGTTTAAAACCGAAAAACATTTTTTTTTTGCCGGTGACACACACACGAACGCACTGCCAAAAATACACACATACACGCGCAAATCAACGGTAGCATTTTGCCGGTTGAAGCCCGATTTTTTGTTGTTGTTGACGCCAAGTAATTTATGGAAAATAAAAAATATCTTAAAATACTTACCTTTTAGATGATATATGTACTGTTTAATATACTTCTTAAAAGCTATTTTGTTGATTAAATACAATTATCACACGGGATTTAATTCCGCGCGGCGAATTTTGCATGGCAAATATTAAACTGATACCGGGCGGAAATTCGTCTCAAAAAAGAGAGGGCGGTATGGGCACAGCCTTACACACACGAAATGCACTTGAACTCGATTAACTCTGGCCTTTAACTATTTTACTAATTAATTATTTTGGCAATTTGTTTATTTTTGCACGCGTTGCCGGATCGGTTGTGACTAGTCATATGTTAGGTGATGCCGTACTGCTTTTGTAACCACAGTGTGGGAACGCCGGTTAGTGTTGGCTAACGTCGGCGAAGACAAAACACATTTTGTTTGGAATTCAAGATTTTATTTTCTTTTTACCTAACGTTTCAACTTTTTGAATTATTTTTTAAACGAAAAGTGTTGACATGGCCCGCACTGAACTGGAGAAAAAGACTAAGCGCCAAGGCAAAAAACGCTCGCACGAGTCGGCTGGAAGCGCGGAACATGCGGCCAGCGACGACGAGGTGGCCAACAAAAGTTTGATCCTAGAGCCACAGGTGGAGCAACAGGCGGTCAATACAGGTTGGTTGTCTTCACACCTTTCCCAGCCACAAATCAGATGTCCAATATTGCAGAAAAGGCGACAAAGAGGCGCCAAAAAGGCGAAGAAACATTGGTCACCAAGAAACGCAGCAAAAAGTCTTCAACGGAGGAGCACGAAGGCGAAGAAACGGCTCCACAGAAACCGTTTAAGAGAAAACAAGTCCAGGAAACAAAGAAACCCGTAAAGGAGAAGCGCAGCAAGCAGGAAACCCACTCGGAGGACGACGAAGAGGACTCCCAACCCACGGAAGAGCAGTTAAAGGAAGCATCTCTTCCGGAAAATTCCAACGCAGTGGTCACCGTACGCCAGAAGAAGAAGCAGAAGCACCAGCAGCGCCTCGAGGCCCAAAAGAGCCAGAACTCCAACAAAGAGGCCAAAGTCAACAAGGAATACCTCCTCAAATGGAAGGAGTCGCGTCAGGAGTGGAAGTTTAATAAACTTCGACAGATTTCCATTCAGCAGACGGCGTTCGACGAAAATAAATTAGAAGCGGATCTGTGGCCCACAGCCCTGGAGTACTTGGCCAGTTCCCAGGGCGCAGCGCGTTCGAAGATCAGCCAACTGGCTGAGGAGGTCATCCAGAAACTAGACAAGGAGGCCGAGAAGTTGGAGGACGAGTCCGAGCGGCAGAAACTGATCGAATCCACGCGATATCAGCGGGCACGCGATCTCCTCCAGAACTTCGATTAGTTCTTAGGTTGTTCAAGTTTTATCTAGACAGTAATAAGCCCTTATATAATTTACAAAACTACAAAATCAAATCAGATTAAACCCACATTTTTAGAAAAAAATGTACAATTTAATAAGGTCACCTTTGAAGTCTACTTAAATTTACAGGTCCACATAAGCCAACAGCTTGTCCAGATGATCCACCCGCTGCTGCAGCAGCTGCTGCTCCTCCTCCTTCAACTTGAGCTTCTCCAGTTGATCCGGTTTCAGAAGGAAGTGCTGCAGGAAAAGCCTCACGCTCTGTTTGAACTGCTGGAGCTTGGGGTTCTTGGCCACGCGTTCGAATGTCTGATAAACCTCCCGCTCATCAGGCGCCAACAGCAACCGCACCATGACCTCCTTCATGAAGTAGAAGCTCAGCTTGTCCAGCTGCATGAAGTCCACGACTTTGAGAACAGACAGCTGCAGACCAGCGGCCAGGATGACTTGCTGGAGAAAGCTGGCCAGATTGCGGATCTGCGGTTTGGACAGCTTTTCAATGTCATTAATCCGGTCCCAGCTGGCGAACTGGAATGCCAACTGATACTTCCTGTTGAACTGACAGAACTTGAGGGCCAGGTGGGCGTAGTAAGGATTGGCTCGCTTCTCGTTGAGGGCGCAATGGATGATCACATAGGCCACCGACCGCTGGTCCTTCAGAGCCAAGTGCAGGATCTTCTCGAAGGCATCCACGTAGTCGGCGGCACTCATGATAATGCAGAAGATGTTCCGCCTTTCCGCTGTGTTCATTTGCTGCTTTTTGGCCAGCTCAAGCAGCTGATCTGCGAATCCTCCATTCGCAGACTTCGACGAGTTCCTGTCCGGCTTTTGCTTGGCGGAGCCCATCTCGTCGAGGTTTGCCGTCCAGGCAGAGCCCACGATCCACCACTTGCCCACCTTGTCGGCGCGCAGCAGATCCTCGAGGGTTATGTTCAGCGTGACCACGTAGCGATCGTTCTTCAGCATGGCCTTCAGACGCTTGCGGAGGTTTTCCGCCAACTCGGGATCGTATTGGGGCAGCTTTTGCATGTTGTTGTTCTTGACAGCAGTGAGGATGTCCACCATGAACCGCAGGCGGGGATTCTCCTTCAGTTCCAGAGGTGCGCCTGCAATCTGCGATTGAACTCTTTGCATCATGGTCTTGAAGGCCAGAGGATCGTCCTTGCGCAGGCGGAAGCCAATGGACTGGAAGATCAGCAGAAGGCACTCCACGCTCTTCTCGCAGAGCTGGTCGGACAATTTGCCAATCAGCTCCATCAGCAGACTCAGCTCGTAGATCTTGAAGAGGTACATGTAGCAGAGAACCAGCACGAGGTTGTTCAGTCGCTTATCCTCCACTTCCAGGTTGTTTATATCCCTAACATGACCCTCGAATAGTTCCACAAAGGTCTGCAGAAAGTGGGCACCGATCTCGCTGCCTATTTGGGCATGCAGGTAGGCCAGTAACACCATGTGCTCCTGCACCATTCGCTCGTTGGTTCGAGTGGCGCCCAGGAGGGCTTCCTGGAGCAACTTGGTCAGGGTCTCGTTCATGTTGTAGCGGGAGTTCTTCATGTACAGCGCCTCTATGCCAGCGGCAATCTTGTGCAGGTTCGCCTCGGACAGTCGATTGAGCAGACCCTTGCACTGCTTCAGCAGGCGGGCCAGGATCTCGGCCTGCTTCTCGCTGGATCCTGCGCTGGCGGCCATCAGAGCTCGCTGGTGAGGGGGTATGTACTTCTGGCCGGCGACAGAGGCCTCTTGCTCCACGGGATCGGGCAGGATGTTGCCCTCGGCATCGCGTTTCCTCCCGTAAATGTCTTCCTTAACTGTGATTGGGATAAGCGAGATTAAAGGGTGTGCTTGGAAGCGGACTGATTTACTCACTTTTGGGCGACTCCTCCTCTCGTTCGGACTCCTCCTCGCTTTCTTCTTCATCTCCGCTAATGTCCTCATCATCATCTGACCTACTGTCGTCTTCCGAATTTGCATTATCTTCCGGGAAGTCTGCTTTTTCGTCTTCCTGCTCTTCCTCATCGCTCCACATGCCGGCTTCCTCCTTTTCCTGTTGTTCCTTCAGCCGCTTCTTGCGTTCCTGCTTCTCCTCCCACTTCTGCTTCTCCTCCTCGTCGTCCAGGACAAAGTCCAGCAAATAATCCAGGCCGTCGTTGAACATCTTTCTAACCAGGCGGTTTTTGTCCTTGGATTTGTTGAGCTTCAGCTTCTTTTCCAGCTTGTTGATCTCGCGATCCTCTTCCTGGTTCTCCAGACGGAGTTGCTTGAGCCTTTGCTTTTTGGACTTGGCTTCCAGTTCCTTCTGCTGGCGGAGTTCCTTTCTTCTCACTGCCTCTTCATCCTGCCTTTGGATAGAGCCTCCTTGCATTTTCTTTGCCTTCTTACCCAGAGGTTCGAACACCTGAACCTTTTCCGCCTGGGGCATCAGAGCATCCACCTCCGGATCACTGAAATCCGAGTCTATGGACTCGTCATCATCGCTGGCAATTTCGCCGGACAGGAGCTGTTCACTGGGAATATCTTCCGGATTTATTTTCGGTTTCTTGCTCCTTTTCTTCTTCTTGCTTTTACCTAGCAGTGACTGCGCTGCCGACGCCTCCGCCGCTGCGACCACGCGCTGAGTGCCGTTTGTTTTGCCGGCGTGATAAAGTCGTTTGTTCTGCTTTTTGATCTCAGACTTTTGCTTTCTTTGCTCCTTGCGGGTTAGCGGCTTCTTTTTGCCCTCCTTTTGCTTTATTTTAACCATTTTGCAGGTGAATTTTAAGCAATAACAGTCGGATCACATTTGAGACTTGTTGTGTCGGCTTAATCAGCTGTGTTTGGACTAGTGTTGTACAACCACGTGGCAGTAACATACATTTATTTTCGAATCGCAGTTTTTCAGGCAAAATTTCAACCACCGAAAAATAAAAATCTTTGAGTGCAGTTTTTTTATGGATGCGATTACAAAAGTTTAGAGTTATTTCACTTTGGAATCCGACCAAAACTGAAAAAGTTATGGCTTACGGAAGTGTACTTTTGGGTCTCCTATGGGCCACCATCTAGGAAGTTGGAAATTCCCGACATGAACAGGGGTCAAAATTTCGACTCTCGAAAAATGGAAAACTATGAATGCAGTTGTTTTATGGATGCGATTACTAACGCTTGGAGGTATGTAACTTTGGAATCGAACCAAAATTGGCAAAGTTATGGCTTACGGAGGTGTATTTTTTTATATCTTTTTAGCAAACCCTCTGAAAACTTGACCCTAACCAAAATAATAAATTTTTAACGTAGATTGTTTTGGAACAAACTGTTTGCTACTTTTAAATCGGGTTCAAATTGGTTTATCCGTTATTTCTGTACTGAAAATTTCGATATCGAAATGGTTCGGAGCTCTGCTGCATTTTCTAATCGTATATTAGAGTGACCATTTAAAAGTGAATACTTTTAGGTATTTATTGAGTTGTGTTTTTCCAAAACATTTGGAGCTGCAGGTCTTCTTTGTTTTGATTGGATTCAAAGGCGCTGAAAACGTTCTCCATGTCGCACCGCCACCAGGACATCCCCATCCGACCTCGGTACGGCTTAGACGAGGAGGCGAACAGCCAGGCGGAGGTCAGCGGGCCGAGTTCTGCGAGATCCGGAGCCACGCCTGCATCCTCGTACACGGAGATCCCCTTTCTGGCCCAATATCCCGGCGCTGTACCGGATCACGTGCTCCAGGATCTGACGCCGACGGCGGTGGGGAATCCTGCGATGCCGGGGAGCGCAGGAAGAGCGCCTAACGGCGAGAGCTATGTGAATCTCGATTCAGGCGAGGACGACGAGGAGGCGGAGGAGAATGATCCTGCGGAGGAGGAGGACAACAGCAACTCGAACAGCAACTCCAAGGACAGTTCCGGCGGCATCCAGATGCACAGGCGCCTGCAGGCGGACAGCAGTAGGAACCAACTGACATCCCTGAATTCCCAACTACAGTTTCTCCTTTTAAGATCTCCCCTACGAACTGGAGGGCACCAGCGACTCGGACGGAATGCGCCACTTCGTGGCCCACGACTTGGAGGCCAAGCTGCGCGAGGGCGTGGCTGCCGCAGCGGATTACTCCTCGGAACACACCACGCCCTCCACTTCCATGGGTCACGGAGTTCCAGCGGGAATGGGCACCTCCGGAAACGGGCTGCTCACGCGGAGGTTCCTGCAGTCCCGCAACATCCCCGAAGTGGACGGCAGTGTGCTGAGCGACATTGAGCTGGAGGCCCAGTACCTGGCCACCTCGGTGGACAACCTGCTCGAGAATCTGGGCAACCTGCTGCACTCCATCTCCTCGATCACCGCCGACAACGTGGAGGTGCACCGGAACGCCGTCAACAAGCTCACCGACACCCTGGATGCGAACATCAAGTGCCAGTACCAACTGCTGGCCAAAGCGGAGGAGATCACCAAGTCGATGAAGCCCACGGAGCAGCTTGGCCTGCGCATGTAAGTGGCTGCAGTCTCTCGGAGCAACTTAAATCCTCAAATCTCTTCTCTTTGCAGCAGGGAGATCAAGCGACTGGTGGACATGCTGGACAGCACCATGTAGGAGAGGGCTCTGCATCCTGTGATCTGTGCAATCAAAAATATCTTGTGTTTCTAGTCATTCCTTAAATACATTTAAATTATGAAACAGAGTAACGCGAAAGTAGTGCATACCAGCAATCTAGATTTTTCAAACGAGTTTCTATATTTAAAGATAAGTGCGATCTCAAAGCTTCTCCACCTTGGCCTTTATGATCCGCAAGGGATCCACAGGTCGGTCGTTCTTGTCGGTCTCGACCATTCCTATCCGCTTTACCACCTCCATGCCGGTGTAGACCCTGCCGAAGATCGTGTGCTTGCCGTCCAGCCATTGCGTGGGCGCCAGGGTGATGAAGAACTGGGATCCGTTGGTGTCCGGACCCGAGTTGGCCATCGAGAGGATTCCGGCCCCCGTGTGCTTCAGGTCGCCGTGCAGCTCGTCCCCGAACTCGGAGCCGTAGATGGAGGTTCCCCCGCGCCCCGTTCCCGTGGGGTCGCCGCCCTGGATCATGAAGTCCCTGATTATCCGGTGGAACACCACGTTGTTGTAGTAGCCCCTCCTCGACAGCTCCGCGAAGTTTCTGCACGTGTTGGGGGCATGTTTCCAGTACAGTTCCACCGTGATTTCACCCATGCTGCGGAAAAAATTATAAAACAATTACTGAGGGTTCCATTTTTTGAGACTGATTTACCGTATCGAGCGTGCACTGTATCTACGAAGGTTGTTTGTTTACAACTCACCTAGTTTCCAAAGTCACGAAATGCGGTTGCCAAGCCTTGTCAGGAATGCCCCCCGAGCTGCCAGGATCAGTTAAAGACAGCATTTTCTGTTAGATTTTGTCCTATAATCTTTTCGCGAGAAATTAAGAAATTGTTTACAGGCGGCTCGTTGTAGTGTGGCCAGCTAAATTTATCATATTTAATGCTACCGGGGTAAGCAAAGCCTTCAACCTTTATGAAGTCACATTCGGTATATTTAAACATCTAATTGGTATTTATTAGGGTATTTTGCACGCACTGCATGGTATTTTGGCACCGCCTGGCGACAGTCAGCCTAGTTCCATTTCTAAATTCGACGAAAAAAAACGCGGACGGGAAAAAAACGCGGACGAGCGTAAAGCAAAATTCGTCGGGCTCGCGAGAAAGAAAAAGACACAAAACACACGGAGAGCCTGTGTCTGCGTGTGCGTGAGTGAGAGAACGCGAAAAGAAAGATAGGGAACCATGGCGAGTGTTTTTTTATAATTAAATATCCACAACACTTTCCAAATAATTGTAAATGAAGCAAAAAGTAAGCCAAATATGAAAAGCAATTTCCCCAAGTGTGTGTGTGTGTCAAAGAGAGCGTGTTTTTTTGTTTGCTGTGTGTGTCGCTGAGAGAGAAGAAGAAGCAAAGCGAAAGAGAGAAGAGAAACTCTCAAAAATGAATTGAAAACGATGAACTCAAAGTAGAGCGTGAGCGTGTGTTGGTGAGAAAAACAAAGAGCGAAACTATTTTCAATTGCATTTTTAACTTGTTTTCGCCATGGAATTGTTGTTGGACTTGTGTTTTTTGTTTGCCTTTTGTTAGCAACAATTTCTATACAGGGTGTTTTGTGCAGCAGAGATTGGCGTTTTTTGTATTTCGTCGCTGGGGGCGGTTTCCATATGGGGAACCCTGGTTTTCCACTGTTTTTCTCACATGCGGGTGCATGTTTTCCCTCTCTCTTTTCATTTCGCTCAATTAAGGCCGTTTTGTGTCGAAATTTCCTATCTATAAAGGCCCCGAGTTCTCGAAATTACAAACCCTAACAACAATCCATTGAAACGATGGTTGTCCGTTGTTTGTCTTTCTATGTATGACGAATGTACCTTCCTATTTGACGTATCCCAACGTATTCCAGAAATATCTAGAACAGAATTTGAAAACGGAACTTATATAGGCCTGAACACTTTTTGTTACCAATAAATACAAGTATATATTTACTTCCACGCGAAAACAATAAGATTTTGTAGGGATGCAGCATAATTTGTTTCCCTAATTTATTCATAAACTGAGCCCACAATGCTCTGCAATAAAATTAGTCTATATCAGGTTGAGGAATTCTTTTACATTTGGGACTTTTATCCCCCTGGGTATTTTTTATTGTTTGGGATTTATTGCCAACTCTTTTAGCTCGGCGTTTATCAAAACAAAAGAAAACAACTGGCAAACGGAAATCACTCCTTGTTCATCTTCCCCTCTGCTCCTTTTCTTCCTCTCTTATTCTCTCACTTATCCTCCTGTGACGCTGCGTCATCATAATCATCAACTCAACGGCGTATGTCGATTCATCAAAGAAACCGCCGCCGGCTGCTCCCTCTCTCTTTCGATCCGCCAGCGTTAGAGTGAGAGAGGCAGAGAGCGTGCTCATTCATGCGAAGGATACCGAAAGAGAGAGTCGCTCTCTCTCTTTCTATTTCTCCATTTCCCTATGTTTTTTTTTTATGTAAATCATTTAAAGGGAAATTGTTGCACAACTTTAACGAGTCGTGATGGGGCGGTGGGTGGGTCACTGCTTGTGGGTTTTCCCGGCTTAGCCCTTCCCCCACTCCCCGTTCGTCCCTTTTGGCAGCTGTCAATTAGGGCTTACAAGAGAAAAAAACTCGAAGCTTCCATATGTTCGGTGTCCCTCCCACGATTCTCCACCTCCAACAGCTGTTGGAAAGTTTACCAAATGAGATTACGTTCGGGGGAAAGTGGGAGCTCGGGGGTTCGTAGCTTTATTGGCCTGTAATTGATGCCCAGGCTGCCAACCATATTGCTGATTGAATTGTGGCGTTCTCGCCGCGGCGAAAAGAAAAAGGGGTGTGGATGACAACCTAGAAGACTGCTGACGTTGCCACCAAAACCCGTTTAAGCTGCAACTAATCGAGTCTATTGTGGGGGAACCCCCGGGGACACAGACTCGTAGAAATCGCATCCTGCTGTGCCAAATGAAACCCGAAAGTCCATTTGGCAAATTTAAGATTTGGTCGTTACCGTTTTCGGGGACATTTTACTATGTTGATTATAAACGTTTTTTTCCCTTATGTACATTGTTTGTGCATTAAATAAGAAACATTCATTTACGATGGAACCCTTAAAGATTTTTCATTACTGGTTTACTTTCATAAGGAAGCAGGAAATTTCATCAGCCCACTTTTCAATGGTTTCTCTTTAAAAGGTTGTGTGTACTTTTCCAAGAATTACTTCCTTTTTGCCCTTTTCTCGTTTTCTTACCAAGAACAAGCAAAGTTTGATCAAATTGTTCAGTTGTTCAATTTTGCATGCTGAATACCATATGTTTTTCCTTTGATCCTTAACAGCGAATCGAAAGTTTTGTACAGGCACATCTTAACCCCTTCTCCGCCGAAACTATAACAGTTCCTTGGCTAAGCTAAAAATATGTTTCACCCACCCATCCATTTCCATCTTGTTTTCTATGTGTGTAATTAAGTCTGCCCACGACGCAAGTTTTGCCTCTGCGTCCCTTTTCACCCGGCGGCTGTCCAACAAAACCACTTTGCCCATTCGCACATCGCAGCCCCCTTTTCTCGGCCCACCGCCAAAAAACTATTTCGCAAGGTGCCCCTTTGCCGGTTCTTGGCCTCCCTTTTGCGCTTTCTCCGTCCCTTTCTTCTCGTTTCTGCTGCCGACGCAAATCCTTACGTGTCAAATGGAGCCCCTCACACTTTTAGGTGCCGCCCGAGGTGGGACATCCACGTAAGCAATCAAGCCACAAATGAGCTTACCGAGAATGGAATACCCCGTTCTGGGATTCTTCTATATTCAAGCACAAATTTGGCATTGCAAACAACACAATATTATTAGCCATACTTTAAACCTTTCGATTTGTATGATAATAAATCACCTCTGAACTGTGAATTTATCTCAAATTAAATTATTATTTTATTTAAATTTAACGTGTTTTTGTGACGGCCTTAAAAACTTTATGTTTTATCTTATTTGGGGGTATTCAATTCGAAGCCCATGATTGCCAATATTATTAAGTACACCAATACCAGAGCTAATTTAAGCCCGAATTGAGGAAACCCCAGGATATTGCACGGTAGCAAATGAAGGAAAAACCAAAACAACAACCACAGCGAAAGAAAGCAAAAATAATTTCGCGATTCGTCCCCCGGGCAGGGCTGTAAAAAAGTCGCAGATTGAGTGTGGAGAAAGGGGATGGGGGGCAAATAGGAGGGCGGCAGGAAGCGAGAGAGAGAGCAGACGAGGCTTGCGCAGGCGCCTGGAAGAATCGGTGAAAGAGCGAGAGGACCGCTCTCTTTTATTTCGGCTCTGTGGCAACAAAGTTTCGGTGCCTCCAGTCCAAAAGTGCCTCGATTCTTCGATTCAGAGTCTCCACAAACGGCTTCGCGAGCGGACGTTGCAGCCCCAGAAGAAGATTTGGCTGTCGAGGAAGTACCAGCTACAGAAAGCCAGAGAGATATACATGTGTATATAGATATGAGTGGAAGCTGCTGCGAAAAAGGTGCAAAACAAATTAAAATGCATAAATAAACACCAGACTCGCTGGCAGGTGTTTGTGGACGTGTATGAACGTGTGTGTCGGTGTGGTCTGGTGCTGTGCTTGTGCGGTGAAACATTACGAAAGAAAACCTTTTATGTTTTGCAATTTTCCTGCAAACAAATCAACAAACATAAATATTAATTTTGGTTACACCCAAAATGAGATGATGGGCAGTACCAACAGCAACAAGAAGATGAAGATGAAGCGGGGTAAACTTGTTTTATGCCCGGTTTCAGATTTCGACTTCTTCTTCTTCGTTGTTTTTGACGTCTGCGCCGGGCTTCGCTGCCGACGTCGACGTCTTTAACTAACCCACCGTATTAGTTAGTTATTGAGATTGTGCAAGTACACCGGGCTTTTTGGAAGGGAGCTATACTTGCTACCATCCCAAAGATTTTCATTATTTTCACAATTGCGGTAGATCAGTGATGGGTTTTTAACGGGTCCAATAGAACTTATACAACTCAAGTATTGTGTTTCTAGTAGAAACTTGAAACTTTCTACCCACGTAAAATTGAGTATCAAAAACAGTTTGAAGTGTAACTTGGTTTTAAATAAACCGAATATGTACTTGGTACTTTTACCACTTTCTGAACCACTTTTATATTGCAATTGCCAATAATAATTTCGAATACAATTTTGGGTAAATATTAGCTGGGACCCATTTGCTTTTCCTCAATTTCACGCGGCAGCTGCAAAACAAAAATCCATTCAATAACACTCGCTGTCCCTTTTTCACTCACTGGACCATCCATTAATAACTTGGGAACCGGCTTTTTGTTTGCTTTAATTTTTGTTGTTGTCGATGGTAATTTGTTTTCTTTTGGTTCTTTTTTATATTTTTGGGTTTGGTAACGAAAGTTGCCAATTAGGTTTAATTTGAGGGCTTCGTAGAATTTTTTAGCGAAGTGCGTAGAAAAGGGTTTGATTGTGTGTATCTGTGTGAGCCAAAAGTGCGCGAGTGTGCGTGTTGTTTGTGTACTGGGCCAAGTGCGTAATCTCCAAAATGTTTTTTATTGTTGTTTGTTTTTTCGCTCTTTTGTGGTTCTCATTTTTCGACACCCAAAATTTGTTTTCCTTCTTTTATAGTTTTCTCTTCTTCGCTACGTTTTTTGCGTAGTTTAAATGCTGAATCAAGCCAAAAACACATTAAATTACAGTAGTCTCTATAAAAACGGGATCTGTGATTTTAAAATAAAAAAAAAGACAATTTCTGATATATAATCTCATAGTATTATGAAATTAAAACCTCCTTGTGTGCTGCTTTGTATCTCCGCAATCCCTTCAGATTATCCTTAACAGCTTATATTAATTATTTTAATGTGTGTGCAAACAAAATGGAAATTTTTATAACTAATTAACGTAGAAATGTATAATCATACATACGAGGGGCAGGTGTGTGAGTGTTAATCTTGGGACGTGATTAATGGAATATTTTGTACGAGTCCAATTCCTCTCCATACTAAACGCAATTCCGTACTCTCTCTACTTGCAGATTCTCTTTTAATTTGGCATAAATTGTATTTGTCTTGAAAAAATATATTGTTGTAAATATATCTTCTTCGTATAAAATTTTAATCTGAAAAAGTATATGATATTGAAATTAAAATAAAATTTCAAAGGGCTCACTCGAAATTCGCCAGTGATTCGCCACGTTTTGTACAAACATAGTTTGTAAGGACCCCGAAAAAGAGGAGAAAAGAACCCAAATGCCAGCGAACTGAGTGCGAGGGAGACAGCCGACCACGCCAGAGCGGGATAGCATGCGCCAATGAAAACGTCCCACCATCCAAAATCGTCCGATTTCGTTGACTACGCCGTTGCCGGGGGCGGGGGATCCGGATTCTGTCCGGGATTTGGAGCGGGATTATCAGCCAGGGCGACGTCCTTCTACGGCGATCTGACGGTAACGGCAACTGCGGACGGGACGCGTCACCAGCAGCAGCAGCAACAGCAACATCTGCAACCTGCAACATCGATTTCATTGGCAGCAGCAACATCATCTTCATCATCTGCAGCGGCAACCAGCAAGCGAAAACGTCAGACAGGTGAGTTCTTTAAGAGTTTGGACCTAAAGCGGAGTAGAAATAACGCAGTGGAAAATATTTCATTGCTAATTTATTATTTCTGTGCCCAAAGTAAATACTTGATTAGAATATTCATGATGACCTCGTTGGATAGCCAGATAATCGTTTAAATTTGCTTTAATAATAGACACAATTAACTCAGACCAAATAATCTAATTCGAGTTCATGGAGGTTTCCCGTCAATTTGTTGTAGGTTGAAATATTATTTTTTATTCATTTGCTGAAGGAATATGAACATTTCTCAAATCAAATCATATCTTCGTTTAGATTTGACAAATTTTCTGCAGCAAAAGATGAACTATGGGTGCGTTTTCAATTTCAATTTCCTCCGCTTGATTGCACCTTCCCGTGGTGATAACACTCATCGATTATTGTGACAATCGCTTGATTTGCTTGAGTTATCGTTATCACACACGCGCTGTGGGCAAATAAACTGTTGTTATTAATACTAGGCGCAATATTTATTATTATTGGTTGCCGTGCCATATTCCGCCTCTTCTGCGGGCTCTTATCGCCTGATACCCCTCATTGCCTCCCTTTTTCATTGTTGATTATCACAATGGACGCCATGGTAACTTTTTTTTGGTAAGAGCGAGAGGAAGCCACAGTTCACATGGTTTGTCGCCGTTTCTCGTTCTGTTGTTTTGTATTTTTGGGCTTGTGGACATTCCCAGACTTTGTTCAGTATCGCTTTGGTGGATTCTTTCATACTCTTTCACGCTATCTCCGATTACGTTTGCATGCTCGAACATGTCTGTCTTGGCGTTTGAGGCCATCCCCCGCGAGATCCCTCTAAAATTTGTGGTGATGTTTTCATTGCCCCCAACCTTTTGCGTTTTGGCCTCCTCTTCTGTTCGGCTGCCTTACTTTTTTCGCATTTTCTCTGGGCTTTGTGACTACCTGAGGTATTGTTTGATATCTCACAAGGTCTCTCCGCTTTTCCCCTGCTCATTGTAAATTCCAGCGGACGCAATTACCACCCCAATTGTCTCCCAATCTAAGTTTTCGCCTTTGAGCTTCCCCGCCTCGTTATTCGACTGTATTTTCTGTATTTCTTTTGGTTTATTTATTTTTCGCTTATTGCGACTTATAAAAATTGTTCTCTGGTGTTTGTGCTTCCCATTCGCCGCTTGTTGTCGTCATCAGAGTGTGGCTGGAATATTTTGTATTATTTTCTTTTTCGCTAATTTTTCCCTCATATTTTTTGGTGTTCCCTTCTGCGAATTGTTTATCTGGTTTTGTTTGGCTTGCCACTAATCACTAAAAAACTTTTATATTTCGGGGCTGTTGATAAGGGAATATGATTCTTTTATTTCTGATTTGTTGGTAAAAATACTTTAACCAACGATACCACAAATATATGTACATACCAAATATGGCTAACAAATTGTCGGGTTTTGGGATATCAAAATGTTGATTGTGTGAATTGCGCTGGATTTTCCGGCTGTCATTGGTTAGTTGTTTATTTCCACAATCTTATCGGTTGAAAAGGTTTGAAATTAATTTTAGACGGAGATATTAGAGAATATCCGTGCGATTGGATTAGTCAAGGTTAGGAGATCTCAGAAAGGTTTAAAAATTCTTGATTTACATAATTGAAATCATTTCAAATCGATAGTAATCCAAACTGTATTCTTGGAAATTAACATTTTGAAACCAGATATGAAAAGGTGAAAACCTCCGTGAAAATCAAGTTCAGCTTTCTTCTCCCAGCCTCCATTTCTCACATCGACTCTTTTCATTCTGCCCTAATTAACTTCTCGATCAGCGTTCTCGACTTCTTCTGCGGCTTTCCCGCATCTCACTTCTTGCCAGTCAGTCTGCCTTCTGTCGATCAGCGGCATCAAAAAGTTTCCGCTTACTTTGTTGCCTTTTCATTACTGCTGCTGTACGTATACTTTCGCCCATAAATCTCCGCCGGTTGCTAATAATTTGAGCTGCCTGTAAGCCCTAACCCCGCCGAAGATTTCCTCGCCGTCGCCTTTTCTCCCGGGGATCACGTTGAGTGGGTGAAAGGAGCTTAGGCAGCTGTGCAGCCAACCCAGTCCCCGGTCTCCTATTTCCCCTTTTTCTTCTTCTCCTTTCTCCGTCTGCCTGTGTAGGCGTTCCTTCTTTTCGGAATTTCACCCGGCTCACATAGATACTCACCAACACACTTGCCCATAACCGGTGCGCCTTGTCTGCTCTCCTTTGCTCTCCGGCCTGCAATTTTCGAGGGTATCTCCGTTTTCTCCATAAGGATGTTGCAAAATAAAAACAAGAAAATTGGTTTTAGATGGAGTAATCAATCTACCAATTCCGTGATACTTACTTTTTTTAATAGCAAACTTTTTATAATTTGTTTAGATAAAGTACTGGGACAGACTACAATCGATTATGTATCTCTTAGGTTAAGATATTATTTAAATGACAAGACTAACTCGTTGGCTTACATGAGGGTATTTAAGTCTTTGTCTTGCTGTTGTCTTATTTGGTCTGCTTCTTCTTTTGGGCATCTTTAATAACAAGAATCTTTCACTTTGCCTCCTTTTTCTCTGCTGATGCGCTGCCTGCAGCCTGATACCGTTATACTATACTGCCGCTAAATAGAGATGACAGCGTGAGTGCGATAAATAAATTTGGGGTATTAACAAGAGACAATTCATTTGGAAAACCAGAAGCACACGGCTCCTAAAGTTAGCTCGATTGATTTGGGAGCAGTTTCGAGTTAAGTTCCCAAAACCAAGAACAGGTTCCACATGTCGAACGTGCCCAAAATGAATTCCCAAAGGGAAATTGGTACACGCGTGCATCTCTCATTATACCTCAGACGGCTCCCTATTCTCCGGCCTCCCTTCTTCTTGGCCCCCTTTCTTCTGGGCCCTCTTTCTTCTCCCTGTCTCTTTTCTAGCTACTTGGTTATGTGATACGTTAATGGCATCTGTGTGTGCGTGCTTTTCGGTGTTCGGTGTACGGTGTTCCCTTTTGCGACACAGAAAATTAAGCCAAAAGCAGCGAAGGTTTCTTTAAAGACATTCTGCCAAGCCCACGCACCAGAAGCCCCAAAGAGCGAAAGAGACGGGTACATAGGGGTAGAACGAGATGGGTTATGGGGAAACGAGAGGGCAAAGCTCACATGTCAATCAGTCCCTTTCTGACACGTTCTACGTTGTTTCTGCCGTCAAGAGAAGTTCAATTTAGTTTGAAATGAATTTTTCATGTTATTTGGATGATTTTTGCAATTTTTTCAGAATTCCATTTGGTTTCATAAACTTTTTTGTTTTTCCTTTAAATGCTTCTCCACCAAATGTTCCATTTTCTTATTTTATTATTCTGTTTTATTTATAGTTTCTAACTTATTCTGGTAATTTTTGTTGGAAATCAAACATTTACCCCTTGAACAAAGTATAATAAATATTTCTGGCAAACCAAAAATATATGTTTGCTATACATGTAAAGAAGATTCAAAAACACACAAAAGAGACGAATAGACAATGTAGATGAAAATTTCCATGCAAGACATCACGTAGGCTCAAAGTGCAGAGACAACAAAATAAAATGTCGAAAAGAGAAAAACCGGGTAAACACATTTAGATTCAGATTCAGATTTTGACTCGCTTTGGGTTTCGAATGCTTAAATGTGCCAACGACATCCAACCGCTGCAATTTCATGAATATAGTCATGGCTCCGGAGTGAACGTTCAATGGATTCAAGGGATCTTCCGATCGAAGGAACAAGGGCCTTAAAATCAATGTCAGAAACGAAAAACGAAATTGTTTTCTTATAACTCAAAACTCGAGAAGGTCAAACTGGGGTTGGGCGTTGGGTGTGCACTTAAAGGGTCCGCCACTCAGGGAAACTCGTGAAAATGACAGCTGTCCGTGATGGCTGTATCTGCCAGCTACACAGATACGTATATTCGGTTCAAGTCGGCTATGGCAAACATTTCAATTAACCAAAACGCAAGGCAGCAGCAAAAAGAGAGGGCAGCCAGATAAAGTAGATAAAGCGGACGGGCAAAAAATTATCTTTATGTTGTGTATTTATTTTGCTTAGCTTTTGCCTCAATTATTTCTGACATGCCACCAAATTTGACTTCTGGTGTTGTCATACGTGGGCTATACGTTTGCTGATATATGATGGATAGGGTCAGCTAGTCGAGGTCGGATGGGAAAGTTTTTTCTATAACAACATTCCCCAAAATACGTTTTTAAATTTAAAAATTCAGCTGTTGTTTTCCTACAATTAACTCGGAACAATTCTCCACACGATTCCATCATTAGCAACCCAATTAATTGATGAATTTAAATGTGATTTTCGCTATTGTAATTGACGATGTTTTAATTTGATTTTTATTCCCTTCTGCCATTACAGGTAAGCCACAAAAAGCCATTAGATGATCCCCACGAAGTGATTTAAGTGAGTTTCGATTTGATGAATTCGAATATGATAATTCCCGGGGAGATCTGAACTTTTTGTACTGTTTCTGCGGTTGTTTTCGTTCACGGTTATTTGGTTTTCAGCTGTCTCTTTCTCCTTATGGATGTACATACATTGATTTCGACTTTGTTTCGGTTGTTTTTGTTGATTTTTGAGTCTCGTTGCTTCGAAAGATCATCGCAGAGCCGCAGCAACTTTGAGAAATCGGACCAGTTTCAACCCGAGAACTTGTTTCGCGTGTCTGTAGACGTTCATTGCGCATACAGTTGGCAGTTTTAATTGAGTTTGCAGTCCCCGAAAAACAAGTGAGAATGCGGGTGTGAGTCGACTAAAAGATACCTGGTAGAAGTATGCCGATTATATTCATTTACGTTTCAAGGGAAAAGAGGCAAACAGAGTTGTTGGTGTAACCCTTGGGACCCATTAATCGGGGGTAAAATAAGCCGCATCTTTTATTTCAATGAAACTCCATCTCTTGTGCTTCTCTTCTTTTATTAACTCTTTAGAGCTCCCCTCTTTAGTTTGCAACTTTGAGGAATGG